GTGAAAAATCGAAACCTTAAATGCTGGCCTCTGATACCTCTTCGCAAACCTTGAGATCACAAGGTTTTTGCCAGCATTGCAGCTTCTCTCTCATGTTGTAGCACTCCTCCGTTGTCTGTTGTAACTAAGTTAGATAGTAATACTCTGGTATGCTGGCCCTGTGATTGTGTCTTACCAACTAGCTTGTGATATACCAGGATTTCAGCTTCAGCTCACTTCTTCCCCAACTACTGTAAAGGAGTGATGGTGTGAGCCAGCGCTCAGGTGGTTCCCTGTGAAAGAGAGTGGAAGGCTTTATCTCTTGTTACGAGTTGTTCCATGGTACTGGTAGGATGGTGGGAAGCTGTAGTTGGGTTGCCCAGCCTGATCACCAGTGAGGAGCTGAGGATAGCAGAGGAGCTTTCATGAAGGAGCAGGCCCAGTGTTTAGGACAGTGACGTCGTTTGTGTCTCTAGCCATCTGCCACCCATCTGGAAGTGCTCTGTCCACGGATTTGGGTTTGTGCTGTGGCCAAATGTAGAGTTTCTTGCCTGGGATGCTGAAGACAGGAAGATACTGAGGTGACTGCACATCTGAAAGCGAAGTGAGGCATTAGTCATGCTCCTCTCTTTCTGGCAAACATCAGTGCATTAGCTAACCCAGAGGGCATGGTACTGTGTGTGTGCACATGAGCACATCTGTGTGCTGACTCAACTGGAACGCTGGCAAGCGCTGCTGCAGGCCACAGTTAACCGATGTTAAGTCAGTCACAAGTGTGTTCCCTTCCAGTGCGTAATGAAGTCCACTGCTCTGCTAGTGCTCTTCTGTATTGTGAAAATAGCAAGGGTAAATGGATGGCTGAAACGTGTCTATCGCAGTTGCGTTTAAATGAGTCCATGGGGAAACCTCTGCAGGCTTTGAAGAATGTACATACCACAGCCTAGCTCTAGGCGGGGCATCAGGCTGCTTCATAACCCTGAATACAGAAAGGCAACTCCTAGGGATTAACTTGTGCTGTCTTTTGCTTGTAGCTGTAGGAATCTTCAGAAGCCAGCAAAAGTTTGGATGTGCCTTTGGCAGTTACTCCAGAACTGCTCTGTTGTAGGAGATGATCGTGTGCGCCAGAAGAGCCGAAAGCTGGGGATGGTGGGTGAGTATTGACCAGTGCACCCTGAGCAAAGGAATGGGCACCGCCATTCCTGTCACTGAGATGGGAGGGAATGAGGAGTTGCTCTTTTTCCTTAAATGCAGGAAAACAGCATTTCACTTGCCCTGAAGAGGGAGAAAAGGCACTTCATACACCGCCATGTGCAGGCAAGATTCTTACCTCTTCTGCACTCCACAAAATCTCAGAATGCTGCCTAGAACTTTCCACCATCACATTGCTTTCCAAGTTTGTAAATACATCCCAGGATGACACCAGAAACTTTCAGCTGTTGCAGCCAATCTAAAATCAAGGGCAGTTTAACTTTCTGAATAATCCTTTTTACATCAAATGTAGAGAAGATCTGTAGTGTTCTCTAGTGTCAACTTTTGCTGCATTCCACAAGTTTCTGGTGTTTAGTAGCAAAATAATGTGGCAAGTTCTAATTACTGCAAGTGTAGATTAAGTTTAGAATTATTTGAGATTTTGCTCCTCACTGTAATTAACTTAAAATTTAATACTAAACTTGACTGAGGATGCCCAAAGGTTATACCGCTCTACATTCCAGGGGAAAAAAAAGCTTAATATTTCTTATTTTAACACTGATCCATTTGAATATTGCAAATGTTTCCAGATAGATCTGTGCAGTCCCTGTCAAAGTGACAGGAAGCGTGTCTAGCACTCAGAAGGACAAACCCATGAAATCAGTTGGAGGGTTGTTGGTTGATGCTTTTTGACCATACCTCCAGCCTCAGTGCTTTAATTGCCAACGGAAATACACACCAGGCTGCCTGCAGTACGATGTGGTGCATTAAAGAGCCCACTCTGGCGTGGGCCTGGTCAGGACTTCTGTTCAGCCAGCCACTGGGCAGAGGTGCCCTGCTCTGAGTAAGAAAGAGCTGGACAGCTTGCTGGGGGAGTTTTCCTACAATTTCTAATGGAAAAAATTGAACTCCAGAAACTCCGTTCTTGCTGTTCATGCATGTATCTTAAAGCCCAACTTATTCCTGACTTTTGAGAATTTAGTGAATAATACCTGTCTCAGTTTTGTTTCCTTGGGTGTGATATGGAATAGGATGGGGGCAATACCCTGTGCTACAAGGTGTAGTGAGGTCCACGTGCTAACTTACCTGAAAACGTAAGACAGTTACACCATTACTAGCTTCTTTTTAGCAGTTACTCGAGAGAGGTTTCTCTTTATAAGCCAGGTGTAGACAGGAGCTCTCAGGCAGCAAATTCCTGGGTTCCTGCAGGACTTTGTTTTTTAGTTTATTCCGTCACACTTGTGAAATAAGAATGGCACTTCCTTTCTGGGCAAGGAGGTGTAAGGATCAATCTGTGTCTGAGGTGAGCAGCTATGATGATGGGGCATATAAATATATCTTGACAATTACCTGTTAGGAAGAATACATCTGCTTTAAACGTTTCTGTTAACATTTGTCTGCATTGCTTACACTTTTTCTTGCTAAGCCTGCTTCTTCTGTGTGCTGCCTTCATCCTCGTACCTGCAAGGAGCCTGACTTTCTCCCAGGTGCCATCAGGACAAGAATGGCCGTGCCCTGTACAGGACCATCACCACCTACTAATAAGAAAAAAGGTAAAGCAGAAAGAGTGAAGCTGTGTGATTTAGTATTTTCTTTTAATTGAGCTGCTTGAGGTAAACACTATGCTCTCCAGCAGGTTTGCTCTGCCAAAGGAGAACTACACAAGATAACAGAAAGGTCTCCTACGAGATGCTGTGCTGCTTCCTGTAGTGTGTCCTACACTAGCTGGTGTGTCCTACCTCCTGTCCATCTTGCCTAGTTCCGACAAACTGTGCAGCATGCCTATAACAACACATACTTAAGATGCTAAGGGTTAATGCAGATGGGAAAAGTTGTCCTATTATGTGATGCAACTGTAAAAATCTAGGGTTCCTGCTTGAACTAGTGAGAATACTTTTAAATTAGTATTTTTTTCTATTTCTAAACAAAGACAAGGGGGAAAGGACCAAAGCCTCTTTTGTTAAATAGCCTGAAACTGAGCTGCTGCAAAAGAAGCTGCCAGACGGCCACTTAAAGCCCTTGAATACACAGGGCCTAGGGGAGATGTCCCACTGTTCACTGCGCGATCACTAACCTGATGAATAGCTATTATGCAGCATTTGGTCATGAAGTGCTTAAGGAAATACAGACCCAGGTGTCTTCTGGTGGTTTAAAAGCAGAGCTGGTCAGAAATAAGGCTGAAAGGCGTGAAATAACAGCCAGGATGCCCTGGTGACCTGCAGGATTGTAGAAGCCTCAATAAAAGTCTCTGCCAGCCCCCTGAGCTGTGCTGGAAATTCTGTGGCAGCAGAAGGTGCGTTTGACTCTGACAGCAGCTCTGCTAGGGCTCAAAAAGCTCCTCCACCCCCAGAATATGAGAACCTTTGCCTGTTTGTGTTACAGCTGGAATGAAGAAAGAATGCCGGACAAGTACATACATTGAACAAAAATCCGTATGCCTTTGACACTGCATATGTAGGTTATACATACAATAACTGAAAGAAAAAATGGCATTTTTAGTATTGTGTCTTATTCCTCTGGAAGTAATTAACACAGTAATTCAGCTGGATATGAAATTATTTCACAGGTTTTTTTTTTATTACTCAGTTTAATTCATTACAGCAACTACCGCTCTAGATGTAACCACTCTCATGGTTTATCTTGATTCATTTTCTCAGGAGTGACACCCAGGTTACTGAAGACTGAGCTGAGCCAAGACCACCACAGTCAATCTCCATCTTTGTGCCAAGAAAACTGGCTACAAGTGAGTGACAATGGTACAGTGCTGCTCTTTGCTTTTTCATTGTGAAATCCAATACCAAGGGTCTCAGCAGAGCTTTCCTGAGGAGCTAAATAGGTGGTTTCAGTGTAAATGATTCTGTCTGCTGCCATAATTATGAGAAGAGAACTAAAAGAGACCACGAGGCAGAGGCTTTAGTTCCAAAGCACAGCTGCTCAGCAGTAGCTGATGCTCCTGGTCTCCCACCATAAAAGCTACTTAAGATTTAAGACAAGTGGCTTGCAGCCCTTTACTGATTTTAGTACTTGGAAATCAGCATGATCTTGTACCAATGCCTAAAACTGACATGATAAATCTTCAATAACTCTACTTCAAAGATACGTAAAAATTACAGCAAGTGTAGACAAGGGATTTCATTTTGGGTTTTTATTATAAAAGTAAAATAAAAATAAGCATTTAAAAAGCACACTTTTTTAAAGGAACAGATATAAAAAAAAACCTATTTACAAATAGGAAAATGCCAAACTTGAAAAAATTTTTGACTAAGAGGCACCAAAAGCACCTTTAAATACATTATTTGAAATATACAAGATTCTTTTTTTAGGATTCTCTTTTCTGAGTTGTCATTGTTGTGATTAAAAGTCCTGATTTTTCTTTGCCAGCTATTTTTATGAGCTTTTTTCATGCAACTGTGCTGCAAAAATTATGAAGAGAGCAGCTAGAAACTGTATCCTTTGATTGCTCTGTGTGCCTTACCTCTTTTTATTGAGTTGGTATTATGCATTAACAAGGAGTGACTTTCATCTATAAAAGAAAATCCTCACAAACCAGCACAGCTCAGTCAGTCATTCACAGTGTCCAGTCCTGTGTATTAATGCGGCTGTAGAGCCCTGGTTATTGTATATGGCTGGAAAATAATAAAATAGCATGTACTTGAGGAAGGAAGCAACGGCTGGGAGTCACATGCCAAAGTCATCGTTGGTTCAGGTTCGCGTGTGGTTCCTCCAGCGTGCGCGTTTGGTTGTGAATTCACTTCCCTCTGGCCAGGATGACACAGACGTAATTTTAAATGTCACATTTGTTCCTGTAACTGTCTGTTGCTAACAGAATATTACTAGTTGGCTATGTAATTGCTTTGCACTGAACTTTCATGTCCATAGCCCAGGGTCATTTTGCTAAGTGTTACTGATGACTTGCTGTTCAGAGAGTCTGAGTAAGTAAAGCTCAGTTTGCGGAAGGAGGTCTCCACGCCACTGTCACACGTGCTGTCATTGTCTTGAAATTTGCTATGATAAAGCTCACCTGAGGGAGAGAGGAAAGGGAAATAGATTATTGTTTGTGTTGCTTCCGTAATGTTGCTTTCACAAAAGCCTAAGGATTGCAAACCAATAATTTAAAGCTCTTCTGTGGGAAAATAACTCGGAACTTTAGATATTATATCAGGAAAAGCTGTGCTGAATGTTTTCAGTTGACCAAAGCGTGTGATCTGATGCTCTGCTGGCAGAGATCGACTGCAGTTGGAGCTTGAATGGGATGAGAAGCCTGGTGCTCTGCTGACACTAATGCTGTCACCACACTACTCAGGACTCTGCCCGAGTGTGGTAGCAGCAGGGCAAAAGGGTCTCTGGTTCTCAGATTCATACACCCTGTGCAAGTATACAGCTCCAGGATGAGGTTCCTAAAACTTTCTCCTGTTGTTTCACTTACAGATTTACTTTTGAGACAAAGACTTGAAAAATTTTCATCTAGGAAGTGAGCCTGAAATACAAAGAAGTTAGCAGGAGCTGTCGTCTGCGCAAGATCCACCAAAGGAGTGCCTGGCCGCAAGAGAACAGCATCCGAGTTGCAGGTATGATGTGGGCTCAGTGTGACTAGAATAGTGGTCAGCACATTAAGAGTTCACTAGTATTTTTCTAAACAACCATCTTCAAATAAATGACGTGATGCAGTGCATTCATATTGCAAAGCAGCAGAACCCCTCTTACCCTTCTAGATTAATCTAAAGAGGCAATCTGTGTACAAGCACATTTTTGGATAGGCGTGAAGGTTCATTCCATGACCGAACAGTTTTCTATAGCAAGTAAACCGGCAACGTTAGACCAGGATGGAATTCCTGTAGTGTTTCTGTTTAATTTTCCAGAAATACCTACACTGTTTTTACACAGGGTGCAAGTTTCCACATTAGGGTGCTGGCAGCGCTATTGGTGTTTGAACCGGGATCAGGAAAAAACAAAGGGTTTTGTTACTCAGCACGGCCAGGCAGTGACTGAACGTCCCTGATGACTTACTGCCTTCTCACCACCTCTGTTTTTCTGTTAGTAGAGTCCCATGCCCAAAACCCCGGTAGGACCTCCATGGTTGAAGATGCTCAAAACTCAACTGGATGTGACGCGGGCACCCTGACGTAAGGTTACATTGGCCCTGCTCTGAGGCGGCAGCTGGACAGCATGACTGCTGGAGGTCCCTTGTACCCAAAACCACCCCTGATTTCTCTGCCTACAGAACACTGGGTCACTTTGTGGAAGGACAAATTTAATTCCAAAGTCTTAGTGAGAAGTTTATGAATCCAAAACATGTTTGTTTATCCAGATATGAGGCAGCAAAAGAGGAAAAAAAAAGGTCAAAAGGTAATGGCAGTTGTACAGGCCTGAGAGATCATTGCCTAGTTTATCTTTTGAAACTCAGCCCCGGTACATCCAAGGAGTTACCATCAGTAAATGGCAGATGGCTGGTTTTAGAAAAGGGAGGCAGCATAATCAATATTGTAATGCAGGGCTACCGATTCAAATGGTCCATTTGTCCCCTCTCTTCTAGGCCTAGCAAATGTCTATGACAAGAAAGTGGTGCTGCAGTAAAATATTTCCGAAAGAGGTTGAGAACTGTGTGTAAGAAACTATGTGATCTAGCAGAGTCGGGGGGGGGAGAACTGAAAAAACATCTTACATAAAGCTCTTGATGTTTTGCTGTCAATTTTACCTGTCTCTCCATTTGCAAAGGTGGGTGGTGATGATGACAGAAGAGCTTTTGCTGTATTGTCCTTCAGGTGAGATGGGCTTTGTGAGATGGATAGTGCTTTCTGAATGACTTCAATGGCTTCTGTGTGATCCATCTGTCTCAAAGCAGCGATCAACTCTTGAACTGTACCACCAGAAACCTAAGAGAGAAGACACCAGATGCTCACCATCATCCAAGGCTGGCTAAAACTGAAGGGCGGCACAGTCTCACCGTGCAGGACAACAATGTTCCCTACATGTCTGAGTATTCTTTGTAACTTGCTACAGCCACGTTACCTCATAGTTATCTAGCAGAGTTTTTGATGGCGAAGGGCTCAACCTGAAGGCATTATAAAGTATGCCGAGACCCAGTTTTTGTGCTAGAGTGGACCAGTTTTTGCTTGGATCGGGCAATTCCAATAGTTTGTAAAGCTGCATCTTGGAACTTTCATTCAGCTCTCTCAAACGTCCTGGGGAACACAGAAATATGGGAGTTTATTATTGATACAAATCATACACCAGTTCATTTCTAAGCAGAAAAAAAGCTAAATTAACGAGTATTTTAGTGTTTGCTAATGTATTGCTGTGATATCGCAAGTGTACTCCTTGGTGTCCTTGTAACCTACCTCTTAACAGGATCATGCTCGTTCTGTGAGTGGGGGGGAAGGGGGGAGGGGGGGTACCTCTTCTCCCTCCCCATTTCAGTTACAGCCTGTTGCAGGGCAATGTCTTCTGCAAGTACACTTTGAGTACTCAATTACTAGAGGGATATTGTCAAGTCTTTATAGACGTTACCTTGTGTTGGTAAGTCCTCCGAAACCACTGCTGACTCGTAGGGTTTGCCATTTAATATGTCATACACCTAAGAGAATACATTAAAGTCAGTATTTAGCAGAAACCTGGTTAGTGTCTGTTATCTTGACAAGTCTCAGTAGTATTGTATAAAGCCCAAATTCCCCAAATGGGCAATTTTTTCTGTCCCAGGATCAGTATGACTAAAGATACTGTAGAAGACCTGTGCAAAGCTTGAGGGAGAAATCTTGAGAAGTTAATCGCCCTTGCCCTTTTGCCAGATGACCTAGCCACTGTTTTCAAGAAAAAGAGGAAGTCTTTGCAGTAAATAAGTGGCAGTAGCAGTGCCTGAAGAGTTATTGCCTGTCTGCAACCAGTCATTTAAAGCAAAGCCTGGGTTAGATTTTCACCTAAGGTTAGTGCCACTCCCCAGCCCCATGTGATTAGAGATGCTGACCACTTGTACCTTACGCTCGCACCAAACCAACTGCACGTAATCAGCTACTAAAGCATGGACAGTGCAGCCAAATCACTGGGTAGGACACAAGAGTTATTTTCTGTCTGCAATTCTGAAGAACATGCAGCAAAGAAACCCACTAGAGAGCGTCTCTGGGCAGCTTCTGTTTGAAGGCCCGCGTTCAACGAGCGAAATACTTTTCTGTACTGAAAACTGTAGTGTGAATATTTCAAGAAGGGCCTGGTCATTCCTGTTCAGCAGTGGTCATCTCTTAAGCATGGGTTTCTTTTGTGGCTGAATTAGTTTAAATTTTTGATGGCAAATTAGTAGCTTGTCACCACTGAAATAACTGTGGATGCAGTGAAAGGAGTTGGCTGAGAGAGCTGAACTATCATTTAATACTAAAAAGACAACAGGAAAAAAACCAGACCACATACCTCACAGTTGGCAGCCATATCCAGTGGTGTTGTTCCGGGCATTATCCCTTCATCATCATCTTCATCTTTCACATCGTCTACATCAAACAACGGCTCAAAGTTCTCAATGTGAGGATTTGCCCCTGAAAATCGAGTGTGCAAAAAAATTCCTAAGAAAAGGCTTCAGGTTGCTCTCCAACAATACTTAAAAGATGTATTCTAAGTTCTGAATGGCAAATCTGCTCATTTAGCTAGTCAAGCTAAATTACATTTTCTATTAAGTCAGCAAATAACTTTTTTAGCAACTAAAGTTAAATGCTGTCACAACTGTGTATAATGCTAGTCTCCGTTAAAAGGGAGTAAAACCGACAAGCGGAGTGTTAGGGCCCGAAGAGCGAGCTGTGATTCTATCAACTGACTGCCAGTCCCTTTCTGGGCTGTCGCAGAGCGCAGCCTGTATGTGCTAAAATGCTGGTGTGGTGCTTCTTTCTATGGCACCAGAGAAAGTTGGGGTATTCTTAAAAGACCAAGCACAGCGCCAGAGCAACGGGAAGCGTGGATTTCTGTTTCAAAGGAGAAAAATGAGGTCTAAATACAATTGACAATAAATATTCTGAACTACCTCTTCCAGAGCAACATGAAACAGGAGACACTAACAAGCCCGTGTTTCAGTGACCCGTTTTTTTTTTGTTTTCAAAGCAGTCCCACACTTACATGGACTTGGGATAATGAGGTCTCTGCTGCTTCAGCTATAAAATGACAATAAATATTCTGAACTACCTCTTCCAGAGCAACATGAAACAGGAGACACTAACAAGCCTGTGTTTCAGTGACCTGGTTTTTTTTTTTTGGTTTTCAAAGCAGTCCCACACTTACATAGAGTTGGGATAATGACGTCTCTCCTCTGCTTCTTCAGCTATAAAAAACTGCAAAAAGAGTATTCCAAAAACTTCCAAGAGTGCTCGAGTGTTTTTCTCGACTAACATCATTTGCCTTTTTAGCCATGCGATGGTGCTGAAGAGCAGCGCAGCACCTGAAAGGAGGACTTTCCTGAGGAAAAACAAATCTTCATGCTTGTGACATCTGATTTCTTCTCCTCATTAAACAAGTTCACTGGCACATTCTTTTCTGCTTGCAGCCCTCTAACCTGAACTGTCACTGTGAAAGAAAACTCTCCAGCAAATACTATTTTCATACCTGCTGCTTTGAGAACTGCTGCCAATTTTGTAGAGCCCCTTCCCGCTGCTATGTGAAGAGGAGTTGTCCCATCATACGTAGTGCTGTCCACATCTGCATCGCCCTACGTTTTTATTGAACAACAAAGAAAAGTGCTGCTCATCTAATACAACACAGCTGCAGAGACTCATGTCTGCATAAACATTGCTACTGTGCATGTAAGCACCGTTCCACCCCTGTTTGCATAAAAACTCTCATCGTTGTCTGAAAAAGAAGGAATCAAAGTAACTACAGCTGTCCGCATGCTGGAACAGATGGTGGTTGCCCGCTCCAGCGTTACAGCAGGAGGCAGAGCGTATAAAAGCAAACAGGTCAGGCAGATAAAAGCCACTTTGCATCCCATATAACAGTTCTGCCATCGGAGTACCCGCGGCGTTTGGCGTCTGAACTGGTGTGCACAGAAATCCGCCTTTCTGCTGCTCTTCAGGAGAGCAGGCGGGCTGGTGGCACGTTCGTACGCAGCTACTGAGGAAAGCTACGGCACCCAGCTGTGGGTGTGCAGAATTAAGCACTCTAGGATCAAGGCGTTCAAGAGATGAGACAAGTATTTATAGATATGCACAACTGTCTCTCTATGCACACCTGTATACACATCCCACTTCACACAGATGAAGGGATTCACTTGTTCACAAGTGGTTTCATTGACTGCCAGGATTACCCAGTGCAAATTAAACACGGTATTTGCGCTCAGGTCAGAGTCACAAACCGTAAATTCCTCAACTTGGGCAAAAGGTTGACCAGCAATGCTGAACAAGTAATAAAGAATAACATGAGCAATAATTCTGCCATTATACTAGTTTAAGTAATCAAGTCAATGAAAAGGAAAAAAAAACCCCTTACGTCTGTTCCTCTGAAGCACTTAAGGATTTTCAAGCGTTTTAAATATGTAAGTGAAAAGACCTGGGAGAAAGAAATGATGCCCTTACCTCAAGCAAAAGGCAGCCTGCCAGAGGGATGTTCTCTTGCTCAACAGCTAAATGCAATGCAGTTCGTCCAGATTTTTGTTCCTGAGCATTGACGTTAACTCCAGCAGCAATCAGCTGTTTGAGGCAGGACATGCTATTTGCCATCACCACCATGTGAATTGCACTGAGACCTACACAAAACCAAACATCCATCACGTGCATTAATATTTGAAAAAATACAGGAATGTCAGAGTAATGACTTTTGAAGTGGCCGCATCGATGAGAATTGTAAAATAAGTGAGAGTTACTGTAGTTACCTGAGCAGAAGTGACTTATTTTGCCTGCTTATACGCTGAAAGATGGCATTAATAAAAATGTTCTTTGTGCATAAATCGGAACTAGTTGTGCTACTGGTGGTGAGTGAAAGCCACGCATGGAGGGGAAGGGGGAAACGTCAACAGATTACAAGGTGGGATAGAAGGCAGGAACTAAGAAAGCTCACCTAGAGCATCTCTTTGCCTCTTAAAAAGAAAATCTACATCTTGGTACTAAACAAGTAGGTACCCTGCACCGGCCCCAGCTGCTACTGAACTGTTCTAGAAAGAGTCTGGGCAATAATTGGTGTGTTTTAGTATCATCCTCCTGTAAGGTCACACTGCCCTATCACCTCCAGATTATCTGTACCAGCTCAAAAAGAGAGTAATAAAGCCTTGTATTTGAAAACCAAACAAATAAACAAACAAAACCCAACCCCAAAGCAACCAATCAAACACGCACCCTCTCTCTGAGGAACTTAACACAGTCTTTTCGAATCCCATAATGACATTTTTAGGTCAGATGTTTTACAATCTACTGGAGCAGGAGTACTAAATTGAAATGGCCTGTGTCACCGAAAAATGGGAGAATTGTGTCTTTGTGGTTGTTTTATAGGCTCTAATTCTGCATGGTCACAGAGTACCAGATATGAAACTCGACACTGGTCCAGAAATTATTTCTGAGGGGATTTCATTCACTAGAGACAGAAACATTTTCTTCAGGGGGGATTTTTTTAAAAAACAGTGGTTGTATAAAGTGTGTCAGGAGGAACACAGTGCTTGAAGTTTTATGATATTAAAGACAATATCCAATAACAAAAATTCAAATCCGTACTGTGTCACGTGGCCACTACCAATCTTTATGTTCTGTATAACCAGAAAACCTACACATCTGTGTTCTCTCCTCTGTGACTGCAGGCATAT